AGAAACGAAAGACCCGCGCGCAGGCGCACGTGCGGTAAAATAGGCTTGACCACAATTAACTGAAGTTAGAAAACTTTATATGTATAGAGGACGCCACCAGGCTTCTTATTTCAAACATTTTTTTAGTTTGTTATACAAAATACTAAAAACAATGTTATTTTAATAAATAAAAATATAATATTTTTATTCAAAACTCTTTAGAGTAACGGCATTATTTACAAACTTTGGGTGTCATTGAGGGTAGTATAGTTTGTTACGGTGTTCTAGTTTCGTTCTACGTTGCTGTTTGTTGACATGCGGCGGCGTCTGGCGGTGGGTTCAAAGCACGAATGAATACAATGTCTTCAAATAGAGTTTAGTCTTGTCTGTTATATAATCCCTACAGGTGAGTGCGTTTTAGTGCCACGTGTTTGATGCGGTGTGCAATTTCATTCAAGTCACTAAACGTATTTCAACATAACGCCCACTTTAATAAACACTCGGGAAGCGATTTAAAATGTGTTGAAATATAAGACATACATCCCAAATTGATCGGGTTAGGTATATTCGGCCGTCTGCTTGGCTCTAAAAATCAGATTATTGTTATTGTAATAACGCTTATTTCTTTTTTTTCTCCTCACTACCTTGCTTTTGTTTTTGTGGTTTTCATTATTTTTGTTGGTAAGCAATAATGCAGTTAACATTTATACGATACTATATTTTTCTTGGCCAATCCCACAGTGGGTATGTACCATGGTGTCCAGCCTAGAGTTAATATACAGACTCTATACTATAACTATATACTATAACTATACTATATAACTATACTGTACTAAGAATAAATTTGTTTATGTAAATAATTGTATGCATTACATTAAGCACCACACTTTCCTAGGCTATCCGTAATCTTTCTATTATAGCTCCATTATTCAAAATCTGAACAGTAATTTTTAAAACCACTCCATTCTTGGCCAATCCCCCATAGTGGGTATGTGCCACGATAAATAGGTGAACAACAACTACAACGAGTCTGTATATTAACTCTATGGTATGCAGGCTACAAACAAACGAAGTGCCGTGTTCTTGTTAAACACATTGAATCAAGTAATTTACGCATGTTCAGGAGTTGTGGCGTTGTACGCTACTATTCGAGTCAGAACCTCGAAAACTAATTGACTACTGTTCCTCGTCATCAGCACGATGATGGAAGTTTGGCTTCGAAAAGCTGCCACTGCCATCGGCTTCCGGAGCCGAATTTCGCACGCATGACTTAAACACCTACGATTCTTCATTGCAGACAGCTTCCGATGCGATTGAAGCACTGCCAAACTGTTGCACATGGGCATCAGTCCCAGCTGAAAATGCGTAACCAGGAATCCAATTGGTATTAACTGAAATCAAATCGTCCCAGTTGCAGGCCTACTGGTTCCAGTTAGCAGCTGGCCCGGCCCCCAACCGGACCTATGGCTAGATGAACTTGAAGTAGCTGGTTTGGAACCATAACCAGTTAAATTGGAAGCAAGTGGTCCTAGCTAAGGTGTACATGGGAGAGACTGGGGTTGCCTCAACAAGAGGCTTTGGGAACACACAAATTCACTTAATTCTGTAGTAATATAGCCACACTAGGTGCTAGGCAAGGGTGCACCCTTGTTATTGTTCACCTATTGCTCGTGGCACATACCCATTGTGGGGAATGAAACAAGAATTGAGTGGATTTATAAAAATATTTGCAGTTTTCAAATAATGGAGTTTTATAATAGAAATATTACAGATGACCTAAGAAATTGTGGTGCTTGATCTAATAGATATATACTGCACCCCCCAGTCGGACATCACCTTTCTTCCCCTCCACTCATGGCTCATACGAGTCATACCCAATGCAGGAGATTGGCCGAGTATTAGGTGAATTTTTTTTTCAGTATTTTCTTCGGTATACTACTCGTGTAACATAGAAATAATATAACAAACATCCCCCTCCTAAAAATTCATTGTCAAAAGCGCACATGGGAGCCTCTGCTGTACACCAAAGGGTCCAGCAAAAAAACAACAGCTGTTTAACGTCACGCACATGACAAATTTCGACCAACAACCTTATTTTCATTTTTTCATGTATATACATTGTATCTTCAACAAAACTTTCAGTTTCCAGTCAGCACCCATCATCATGCCACCGTCCTTCACCAAGACTTCATGTTGCTGTTTTCAACTTTTGAGTGACTGTTAAACAATTTCATAAAGCACGTCTTCCCCCCCCCATCCCAAATATAAGAGCATTCCAAATGTTGCCAAGAAAATAAAAACACTGAAGGAGTACAAACACGATGTTAACTTACTTTCCTGTACCTCTTTTTAGCACTAAATAAATTTATAATCCACAGGGTAAAGAGTGCTGGAAAGCACAAGTGCTCCCCAAACTAACTTACAATGAATACTTGTTCGTACTAAGTTTGCTGAGACTTTGGTAGCGAGTAGGCAGATGGTTCAGCTAAATCCTTTGTTGGGGTACCAGTAGTTTCCATGTGCAAGCGCAGCCAGATGAAATGTATCTCTGGCTTTCGAATAACGTTCGATTTACTGATGCGTTTGATGCACCTTTCGAAGTTGTGGGCTCAGACGACAAGGTTACAGTCACATGTTGCGTATAGTTTTATGTCAAGAGGTGAGCTTTGCTGCAGCTGACAATTTCTGCTCCGATAGTGCCTTAAATGGCACATTGGTTGAGCTGTAATGCCAGAGGAGAGTACAGCTAAATTAAGACATATAGAGCTGCACATCGCTATAACATAGTTGCTTCTGGCACAAAACTGCTTTGGTATATTGCTTATTGAACATGCGTCGCCATTAGCGTGCTCAGAGTTCTCCTTCAGGGGGAAGGGCAAAGGTTCATCGCAGCGCCTCCCTCCATATTGAGTAAATGTATGGGGAAGACTTTGCATCTTTCCACTCTCAGGTGACATGGGCGGGAGGTGGAACTCTGCTTCTTGCCACCCACTGCCACTCACCCCCCCATGCGCACGCCCGTGTGTGTAGCACTGCATTAGTGTTGCGACATTTATTGCTGCTTTTGTACGATTCCAACTTGTATCCTTACGCACCACTCTGTCGCTTGATGTTACAATGACATTACACATTATAGTTGTGGGGGTACTATAATTACATAAATACAGTACTTCACAGGATTCGATAACGCTATTCTGACCATGTTTGTTGTATCACAGTTCAACTTTCACATACGAATACTATTCATTCTTTTTTATGTAATGAGCTATGAAAGAAATATTTATTCACATTGCCAAATCGTTTCTACGCTGTTGGTGTCACGATATTTGCAGATCTTCGAAGCGCCAACAAGAATGGGTGCAAGTACAACTATGTGTGAGTAGCAGCATACCAGAGCAATAAAAAAATCATTCTAAAACCTCTTTAACCAATGTTAAAATTGCAATACTTTGCTAAAAATACAGATATTGCAGTGCCCCTAACTGCACACTGTGTTTACTACACTGCAAGGAAATGACCAAGATGAACACGTTTTAATGTAAAACTGTTCGCGGTGTGCTCCATTCCTGAACATCCGCATTTTCACAAGCCTGTACTGCCAATAATATGGCAAATGTACATCATAACTATGCTTGAATAGTCATGCAGTTAAAAATAAAGACTTACTGAAAAGCTTTTCCAGCGCACAAGCAGTGTACACAGTTTCGCAGTCTGTTGTAACTACATACACAAAACATGCACAGGAAATCGCCTAACTTAACATAAACAAAGCTTTTAATTTTGAGGCAAGCATTGATACACAGCAAAAATATAGAAAAACTCTACACTCAACTCTGAGAGTATTGGTAAAATTTTGAAGGTTATATAACTCTTAAAAGTTGTCAGTGACCAAGTAAGGCAAATTCGGCTGTAAAAGTTTATGGGACGTAACACCTACAAAAAAAAAGAAAAGATAATAATTGAGATTGCACAAACTCAGGGCAGTATAAGCCTGCACGACTAACGAAGTGATACTTTAAATAAGAGAAACGACTTCACAGAACAATGCAAATATCACTTTTGGAATAGTATCCTGCAAACATTTGTGGCCTAATGTGCTACTAATGTACTATGGGAGCAGAGGTTTGGCAGCATATGCAATGCCATAGATATAAGCATAGAAGAAAAAAAGAAATGCCCAAGATATGTGCAATGTACAACTTAAAAAACAAAAAACACGCCAGGCCTGCGCGGATGGCGCAGCACAGTCGCAGCGAAAGCTAGAAGAGCGGCCTTTCAGAGACTTTCCTAAACGCTAATTGGGTAACTGCTGCAAGCACACTTGCTTGATGCCCACTATGGCATTATTAATAAAAATCCTGGTATCTGCTAAACTATTGCGAGATATTTTTTGCCAATTGTTCATGCAGTGGCTGATGACAACGAGTCCTGAAGTGGGTATGTGCCACAGTTAATAGGTGAACAAAAACAAACTTTCGTAATGAGTTGCAGCATTGGCCGACCCACTGCTTGTTCTTTCGCTGTTTTAAAACGCTTTATAAGTCGTATTAACGCAACTGCTTTCCCGACATCAAACCTGCCCAAGATTAGTATAGAAACGAGTTCCAAGCACTGGCGTGGCTCAGTGTTAGAATACTGGGCTGGCACCCAGCGGACCCGCGTTCGGGCCCCACTGTGTCATTAGTGCTAGGCTTATTTTTCTTTCCTAATTTCGCTCGATGTGGTTACAGACACCGGAGGCGGACAACTGCGCGTGACCCGTGTTGTGATCTCATAACGGCTTTCGCAGTAAAAGTTCCTAATCCATCTGCTGCCATAACAAACAAATTCGTACTGTATATGAACTTGACAACACAGTTGATGCTTGCACTTCATTACCAATGACTTTTGTGTAACCCTAGTAGTTTTTTCACAAATAGATCAACAACGTGATAATCAGTAGCACAAGAGAAACAGGGGTGGAGCTCCCTTTTTGGATGCCTATGCTGGAGATTATAATGTAAAAAATACTTTACTCCCACTTTTTCCTCATCTGTTAAACTAAACAGCCAATATAATGCCTTTTTGTGTTACATTTGCAATACACTCAGCCACTAAGTGCCATTGTTATGTAGCTTCTTGAACAGCATGATGTGCACTAGTAGATTTGTTGTGTTAATAGCCCTTATATTGTTCTTTTTCATAAACTATTTACACATAAATATTATGTACAAGTAGCACAGCTACTTTTTTCACTCCTGTTGTACCCCAAGATCTTCATTACAAAAGGGACCACAGGTAACCTTTAAAACACAGAGTGTAGTTTAAAGTGTATGCCCCAAAGGTACCTTGTACACTGGCATACCTACATACACTGCATCCATATAGAAAAAAAAAGACGAAAAAAGAAACGAGGATGTGCCAAACATCATTCAGCAAAAGACATTTAGTCTGACAAACAAGTGGAAACTTCCAGTTGATCTTGGATCACATCGATGAGTCAAGTACACATGTGGACACTTTTTCACGACTGTACAGGCAGGTCTGTGTAATGCACTTGATTCAATGCGGGTTACTGCAGATCTTGCGGCGCACTCGCGTTGGGGGAAGCGCTGGATGAAGAGGCCCTGAGACCGCCGTAATAGGCAGTGATGGTCTTGACCCTCTTGTTCAGCATGTTTTGCTCAATCTCAACCGAACCTCCCCGACCAGCCAGCTGGGCAACCTTCGAGGATAAGACAAGTTGATTGGAATCAGCTAGAGCTGCTAACGCATACACTCAAACCTCAATAAAACAAAGTTGCATCTAACACGAAAATAAGTTTGTTATATCCAAAAATTCATTATAAAGGTTTATTCCGAACACAATATTATTGCAACACTACTTTACAGTAACTTCATAATAACCAATACTTTGCTATATCTAGTTTTCTTATATCAAGGTTTGAGTGTACCAGTTTCCTGATGCTGCCAAGCTAGCAAAAAAATAATCGTCAACAAGCCCCCCTTCCCTGAAAGAAAATACAGTGAGACTTTCGCAAAGCCTGAAAAAAGCGTAATTTGAACCAATTTTTCCCATTCCTGAAAATATCTGCAATTATAATGACACTTCACTCTGGTTGAAAAAATCTAAGTATTTGGTGCACCAAAAATATGTGCAACTATGAAGGAAAGTGCATTATTTGCTTTTAGTCTCTATTCGGTTTAATGCCCGTTTGCCAGTCCATGATTAATGTTAGTTGTTAATTCCCCCAATGTATGTTTGACTTCAGCACTCAACTACAAGTCATCTATTGGTGAACGTAATGCTTCTTAAGATCACTATAGTTGCCAAAAAAAAATGCAAACAGGCCCAGGAAATGCAACAAGCGATGCAAAAATACAAGCAGCCCGGTGAAAAAACAAGGCCGAATCCACTTGTTTTAAGCTTGACTGGCTACTTTGATAAACACTCAAACCTCGGTATAACGAATTCGGGTATCAAAAAATATGGGTTATGATGAAGTACAGTATACTCTTAAAACGGAACATGAAGGAACCGGGAAAATATGCTCCATTTAACAGAAGTTCCGTTAAGTGAGAGATGAACATGGGTGCGGAATACAAACCCGAGACCACGAATTATTTTGTTTAAGGGGGGATGATGGTCTTAGCACAAAATTGTAAAAAGTACTGACTTTCAAAAATTGTAATTTGAGGTATTTATAGTGAAAAATATGTTTGGGAAAATTTTTATATTATGGCAAAATACCATTTCTTTTTCCTAAAAGCCTAATATATGAAATTACAAATGTTTTTAGAACAGAAAACACAATTTTCTTGGCATTGTCACTTTTGTGCAGTGAATGTGCCTTACGGAAGTTTCGAGCAAGTTTCTGTGAAGGTATCTAAACAAACTTGATACCATTCTTTCCCGTAGCACCTGAACTACAGGCTAAAGCTTTTCACTTTCTCTCAACCTTGATAAAATTTGTAATTAAATGACAAATACCGGCTAATTACTTAAAGCTCATTCTTACCTTCCAAGTTTAAAAATTATTTCTAATCAAAGAAATAACCATTTTGACATTTAGTTTGCTTTAACCTGTGGGATGAACCTTTTAGAGGAAACGTGTAGTTTTGAAAACTAACTTTTTTTTTGTTGCAAGTTACCATAACGACCTGTAAGAAATTACCTAATCATAATGTAGAAATTTATCATCACTTCATATCTAATGAGATATCTGAAATATGTTTACAGATTTGAAATCTCAGTTCAATGGTACACATGCATGGTAATTTTCATGACAGTAGAATAATAAATAAAAACATTTTTAGGACCCTCGTCCCCCCTTAAGCAGTAGTTACGTTTAACAAATTTCCATTAACTGAGAAACCACTGTAAATGAAGACTGGTCTTGCACTAAATATAATAATACGAATATACAATTATAACGAATTCTCAAACATAACGAACTTATTTTCAAAAAAGGTGCAATTTTGTTATAATGACATTTGAGTGTAAAGCAGGACATCGAATCAAACTTGAATCAAGAATTGAACTCGAGCTGAACCCATAGTGAAGCAAGACAATGTCTACTGTCTCTTTAGAAGAGAGAGGTTTGCAGGTCGTACACGCTTGCGGTGCAATGCAGTGCTGTTAGGATGTTAACGTTTACGAGTACGGTTGCAGTAGCTATTTTAAATCTGGATCTCATTTTCATGTTTGTATAAACATCGAGCACAGTCACAATAATATATATTCTTTCAGTACCTATCAAAACTTGTGGATTGCCCAGGCTGTCTGCCCAGCACACGAGTGGAAACAAAAAGAAACCTAAATGGAAAACTACAAAATACCAGACTCATGTATATTTACCAGTCTGGTCACCCGAGTTGCGCTGCCTGAAATGTTTCACCTTTTCATATTCGAGTTTAAAGAACCGTGCAAAATGATAATTGTGGGGGTTTAACATCCTAAAACCATTATATGATTATGAGTGACGCCGTTGTGCAGGGTTCCGGAAATTTTGACCACCTGGGATCCTTTTAAGTGCACCTAAATTTAAGCACACGGGCCTCAAGGATTTTCGACTCCATCAAAACTGCGGCCACCGTGACCAGAATTCGATTCCACGACCTGTGTTCGGGTCAGCAGCTGAGTGCCTTAGGCACTAGAGCGCCGTGGCAAGTCAAGAAGCTCACCGAGCAAAACCAGTTATGAACTGGTTTGTAAGTCATCATAGATATAAACGAACTGGCATTGATTGCCCCTGAGCAAAACTGAGCATATTAACAATTTTCGTCTTGTACAGACACTCTGCTACAGAAGTGCCTCAATCTATAAGACATAACGCGTACAATGGCATAATATATATGTTGCATTTTAAATTCCACAATCACGACACCTTATAGTATTCCTAATCACCGACACATCTAGCTAAGACGAACCTTTGGTTCATCAAAAGAAATGTCAAATTTGTTATCTGTTTAGAGAATCTGAGCCAGAAAGTGCAACAGTGAGTGGTTCTTTTTCTTTCTTCAACCCACCACCTTGCCCTGAAAATCCAAAGACACTTCCCTCCGTGTTGCCGACAATGTTGCCTTGAGTTGCCGTATCAACCAGAACACTGGGCATGTTCCCTGTATGTGGTGAAAATTTGCTGCATTGTCACCCACCTGATCAACGTCGGCGTTCTTAGGGAGCAACACGGCGATGTTCTCTGTGATCTTTTTGCACAGCGCGAATGTCTGGAATGTGTAACAGGAGTCAAGGACAGAAGCCGACATAGCAGAAACGAACTAGTATCATACACTTGTATGGATATCTTACAAGACTCATATAGGCGACACTTGAATTCGCCGACACAGCTGTCACCGTTTGACAAGATTCAAAGACGTGGTATAAAGATACAGAGAGGCTATAAGCTGGCAAAGCCTGCTACCTGATGCCTGTTAAATTGGTTGATATCATAACTGTCACTGTTTTACAGCTGCAAAGGCATAGCTGTATGACCAAAGAGCCAGGCGCAGCCAGCAACGGGCAGCATACACTAGCTCTTCATCTTCTAATTTTTTCGTTCTCAGCAGTGGTTGGACTAGTATGATGTTGTGCACTTTAACAACTCCGATACCCCGAACAAAGCAGTCTCTCCCTTGGTTGGGTTTCAGTACTGTTTTTGTGCTTTATTGCTTACTTAAATTATATATGTTTGAATTCACAGAGCATCTTTTATAACGGACAGGAGGCAGAAGAATCTCGGGAACAATCTCTGCAATCTCCATTACCTTGACATCATCCGTATTGCCACGTTCCATTTCCCAAGTTTTTATTATCGTCCCAAAACACCACACGATTCTCAGCGCAAACCGCGCCTGCAGTTTTTGAGAAGGTTCCGGACTGTAGTAGATCATTTCGATAAGATCACGCCCACTGTGCAAACGGTACAGATTGTTCTGGAACCTACGCCTAAAATGTTCTGTAACCTAGACAGATTGTTCTGGAACCTAGACAGATTGTTCTGGAACCTAGAATGTTCTAGCGATAACGCTAGAACATTCGACGGCAAGAGTATAAATGCCGACGCGCTTCGCCGCTTGTCAGTTGTTGATCGAAGGCCGACGCTCCGTTCGGCGCTATCAGTCCGAGACTGCTATCTGTGCAAGACTGCTGCTGTAATTGGACTTTCCGTTTACCGGGCACAGGTTCGCCCAAATAAACAGTTAAATCCCAACACGAAGTCTCCTGTCTTCGGCCACGTCACGACCCCGTGACAGTATGTCTCGAGTTCGGCTGCACTAAAGAGGAACAAGTTGGTTAGGAGTGTTGAATTACAACACCAACAAAACCAGCATTGTTACTTTTTATTAGCCAGGTTAATTAATAGACAAAGCACAATGCCAAAAGTTTCAATGTCAAAAGTTTCGCTGTCAAATTTTATTAGCGTAAACTTGTATGGTGACATTAAGGGTTTCAAAGTCACCATTTTTCGTAATTTGGCTACACTGGCTCGACAAATTGTCCTGAAAGTTGGTATGGTGAGTCTCTGGCTCCATCAAAAGACAACGTGCAGCTTTTCTACCAATTGAGAACTACGTAGGCACTACTAAATGCCTAGCATTAGTAAGGAACATCATAGCTTTAACAGGGAACTTTCAATTTGGTGTTGCCACCCAGATTTTTTTTGCCCATTTTCTCGCCCACAGAGTGTTTCCTTGCACAATAAAGCACGGAGTTTCTTTGGGTATTGTGAAAGGTTTTACTTATACACACGAGAAAACTGATTGTTCTATTTAGAGAACCTTTAACGATGCAAAGGACCTACACCACTGCCTACACTGGTTCACAAAATATTGTCAAAGTGGTTTCAGATTTCTTTTAAAGAATAGCAGCAAAAAGGATATAAGTCGGGCTCCATGTCTCTGAGGTCAAAAGACCGTTTCTTATGGTACGAGGGCCCTCCCCAGGGCAGACTCAGGAAGACCACGTCGCCCTGCAGTCGTGGAGCTACCTCCAGGAAGTCGCCAACGATGAACTCGATCTTGTCTGCCACACCGTACACGGCCGCGTTGTGCCGCGCAATCTCCACCTTAGCCGGGTTGATGTCCACGGCTATGACTGCGAGAGAAGACACACTGCCGATTGGTGGTGACGCTAGAATGAACCACTACCACCATAAGGTGACGAATCACAAGTGAATAGGTGATACAGTACAACAGAATCTAGTCAATACAAATCTGTATATAAATTCCAGTTATTATGCATAATAGTCATTTTACAGCAGTAGAATTTCAGTGACCTGAATTGCAAGGGCGAGCAAAAATGTTACAGCAAGAGACCTTTTGAAATTACAAGAACCCATTCTGGTGCCATAGTTGTCCACCCCCGCTGGTGTCAGTAACCACTACTGCACAAAATAAGATAGAAAAAACAACTAAATAATAAATAAAAAAAGATTGAGGACAGAATGACAATTGAGCCCAGGCCTTTTGCTTGCCAGCCTAGTACTGTACCATTGAGCCAGTCTCAGTGCTGGAAACTCAGTTGCAAACTGACCCTACACAGGCTTCATGCTGGTTAAAGAATTGCTTACACAGGTGCAATAAAGCATTTTAGAACAGTGAAGTATCAACCAGGCATCCGTCAATGTGAATTGCGTAATGAGCGGGTCGTTAAATGCTCCAACCTATTACAAAGCTCTCAGGCATAATTCTTCTTCCTCGTCAGTCACGGCAACAACAAAGTGTGTAGGGTGTACCACACTTTTCTGAAGAATGAGGAATAATGGCATCGTGGACACTTACCCACCGCATGAAAATTATGACTTGGTGCGTACCATGCAAGCGTGCTTGTAGTAGGTGCCCCAAGAGTGCTTAAGGGGGGAGGCTACCTTCGAAGGGCAACTTTTTTGTTTGTTGAGATATCTTAATGAAATTTTCAGGGTACACTAATAGCAAAGCCATTTGAATGACCACAAAGTTTCATGCAGTTATATTCACTGGTTCCCAAGTTACAGCCATTTATCAGGGTAGTCCACATGGGTCCCTTAGTCAGGGTCTGGAGAATTTGAAAAATGTGCTAGCACTGTGAAATTCACTATGATGATTCCTGGATAGGTGCTTTAGGGGATAGGTGCTTTAGATAAGAAATTTCTGTGACTGTACTACCGTAATTACTCGTATCTAACGTGCACCTTTTTTCCGGTTAAGCGAGTTCATAAATTGCACACGCATTAGAACAGAGTACAAAAAAAAGAAATGGATACGGTCATTCTATTGTCATCGGCATTTTCAAAATGGCCGCCCCCTACATGCGTTGGCATGGCGCGTCGGCCAATTCTGCCTATGTGTTTTCCATGTGCGGCACTTCGTACGTGTGCTGAGGAGTTCGTCATCTTGTAGTGCGTTAGCATCAACGGCATGGAAGGGCCGACTCCAAAAACTCGAGTGCATCACGATACCGCTTTTAAAACAAAAGTAATCGCGCGTGCAGAAACGGACGGAAATCGGGCCGCATCGCGGTCGTTCGGAGTTCCCGAAACGTGCATGCGGGACTGGCGGAAACAAAAGCAGAAGATTGTCGACAGCAAAGCTTCATGCAAAGGCTTCAGTGGACCACAGCAAAGTCGGTTTCCGCAAACTGAAGAGCTGCTCGGCGAGTATGTGCTTGAGCAGCGAGCGGCACAGCGGCCCGTGACGACAGAACTGCTCCAAGTGCGGGCTATGCAATTAGCCTTAGAAAAGGATCTAATGCGGAGCCAGTTTAAAGCGAGCAGGTTCTGGCTAACTAACTTTATGAAGAGGAAAGGCTTTTCCCTCCGAAGGTGAACGGGCATATGCGAAAAGTTTTGCGGAGGAGTACGATGAAAAGCTTCACAGTTTTCAGAGGTTCATTCTAAACTTGCGGCACAACGGCTATCTGCTTGGGCAAATCGGGAATGCCGATCAGACACCTCTTTACTTCAACATGTCTAGCACCAACCACAACCGTCGGGGCGAAGCAAGTTCGCGTGCTGACATCGGTCCACGGTAAAACTACAGTAATGGCAACGCTCTGTTACACGTCAGATGAGCACAAGCTTCCCCCGTACCTCATATTCAAATGGAAGACGCTCCCGAAAGGAGTCGTTTTTTCGAGTGGCGTGATCGTGCGGGCCAGCGAGAAAAATGGGCGCGCTTTGCAATCAATGGCTTACTTTTTTTTTTTCGTCGTGGAAAGCGGGTGCGCGTTACCATCGAAGGCGCGGTAGAATCGAATAAATACGGTATGTGTTCCATGCAGGCCTGGCGGTTTTTGTATCACAAAAAACTAGCAAAACCCACTTTTAGACCACGATGTACAGTAGACTCCTATTAAACGAAACTCTCTTAAATGAAATTGCTGCTTAAATGGAACAACTGCCCGTAATATGTTTGGTTTCGTACCTGAATATTATGCCCCTGTTTATCTCTCAATAAAGGAAACTCCCCTTAAAGGAAACATGTTTTCCTGGTCCCTTCAGGCTTCAATTAAAAAAAGTCTACAGTACGCACAAAACTTTGAAAGGCTTCACGTATGCCCTTCTGGGACGCACACAAACGGAACAACAAGGGACGACACAGCTGGCTGTTGCAAACGCGCGTCAGAGCATGACTCGAGGCCTACTGAAAACACCAAGAGCTGCAGTCTGCCTCACCAGAATTAAAAGTGAACAACAAACACCGAAGCGCCTTGTTCCACTGTACGACTTTATTGCCATTAATCTACTGCTGTGTTAAGCACACACCTCTGGAGCTGGGTAGTCACTATCATTGATTGCGCCGATAGCGACTGTGGATACGTGCACAGCCGCTACAGCAAACGGTAGTTTCACTCTCAACCTTCGTGAGCTGGCCCCGCAAGTGGCCTTGAAAATACACTATTGCTATGTACGATTTCACATGAATCAGCCGCAGCAGTTGTGAAAAGCAGCACTGCTTTGACTTCATGAACATCGGTTTACGTGCTTTCTCGCAGAGTACAGTGAGTTTTGTCAACACCACACAATCGCATTGATAGTGCTCATATTGACCGCAGTTGCATCCCCAGCGGTAAATACAAATTATAACCACAGTACTGCCAGTGTGCGCTGGCCGCATGCACGTTTCTGATGCTTCTGAAGCGTGCTACTCTTTGCCGTCGCTCACTGGTTTCGGAACTGAAGTTTGTATCACTCGCCACAAAGTGGAACAGTGGCCAGAACATCTGAATTTCGGACCAATGGCCACAATAAAATTCCACCGGGCAATTCCAGGAATTTGAACCGCACAAATTCGTGGCAGTCGTGTTCATATCACCTGAGATTTTGTGAAGCTACTGCAAGTAGTTTTAGAAGCAACACCGAGCACAATCAGAGACAAGTGCAGCACAGTAACTGCTGAAAATATCAGGAGCTCCATGCAACACTGAAGCTGCTGCTATCTAGAGGATGCTTTTACCAAAAGTGACATCGAAAGCCGGTGATGCTACCCACAAATGGCCATTGGGCCACTATGGAAACCATCACATGCATACTGCAGGTCGATAAAACTGAAAGTGTGCGGGGTGGGAAAAAGAAATGCCATCGAATCAGTCAGAAGTTGGTTTAGCGTACTTCCTTTACAGTGCAGGTGTGTCAGGTCTCGTGATCAGATATGCTATCTTTAAGTGTTCATACCAACATTCAGATATAAGCACTCATTGCTACTTTTCTACCTTTGATATCGATAGCATCAGCTCAAAGCTGCCTTGTTTTCTTTTGTGAAAGCTCATGTTGAAACGATGTCACCAGAGCACACAGCTAAATTGGGTCAAGCAAGAGCTTTTTTTTGCTTTGGTTGAAAATAGGGAGCTGAAAATGGGGTCAAGCAAAGCTTGCTGTATGCATGCCCGACCCTATCATTTTCACAGCAAAAGCTGTTATGAGATTACAACTAGAGTGCTGTAGTTATCTGCCGTCGTCGGTGTCTATAACCACCATTGCGTGAAATAAGAAAAAAAAGTAAAAAAGAGAAGGTATCCAGGATAAGATGAGGTTTGAACCTGGGTCCTCTACATGGCAGTCCAGTGATCTACTATTGAGCTACTCCATTGCAAATGACCCTACGCAGGCTTCATGTCGGGTACAATATCTCGTTAACATGTGCAATGAGACATTTTAAAAGAGTAACGCAAACACAAGGCTTCACATTATGTCTATTGGATAATGAGTGGGTCACTGAATGTGCCAACCAGAGACGTTTTAAAAGAGTAACGCAAACACAAGGCTTCACATTATGTCTATTGGATAATGAGTGGGTCACTGAATGTGCCAACCAGTTACAAAATCCTCAGACATAAATCTTCATCGTTGTCAGCCACAGCATGAACAAAGTCCACGTAGTGTGCGGGTAGCAGGTGCACCACACTTCTTCGAAGATTAGACGAGCCCTGGCATAGTGGACATTTATATAATTTATGGCACGGTGGGTACTATGCAAGTGTGCTTGTAGTAGTTGCCCAAAATTGTTTACATTTAAAGGTTCTAAAGAGGCCACTCTTCAGCTTTTGCAGTGACTGTGATGTGCATTCAGTGCAAGCCCACACCCAAATGCTTAGAATTGCAACAATTTAATTAGCACAGGCATAATCGACGGTCCTGTCTCGAAGAACGAGATATAGCAACGGAAAAGGTTGAGTGGCCTTGATAAAAGATGAGATGACCATATCGAAAACTACCGACAACCTACGAGCAAATGATCGTGAGAGCGTCGATTGTAGTAAAACGAAGCTTGTGACTGACCGGAGCTGCGTTTTTTTTTTTTTTTTTGCAAATGATGACGCCGCCACGTAAATCTCTCACTCGAATGCTTCGCTTAATTAGCACGCATCGCAACGTGAACTTGCGTTGCATATTGTAGAAAGGCTTGATGGTGGCCAAGCTCAACTTACCACGGCCGCACACTCGGGCAAACTGGATGCTGTTGCCCCCAGCTCCACAAAAGCCGTCGATCACAACGTCAGCCTTGCATCGATTCGCGATGTGTTTGGCAATGTTCTCTGGCGTCACCGAAAACCAGGACTCTGGAGGAAGAGAAGTGCAAAAAATTAGTCGGCGCACAATTTCGCACCAAGAAGAGTCGATTCTCACTGATGTTAGCGACCCCCCCCCCTCCCCCCAAAAAAAGAAAGGGCCGGTGGGATAAGGGCCTTCACATACAGAGAAAATAGCTCTAAGCAAAGCATGGTGTGAGAGCCTAATCTACTGCTTTAACGTGAAAGCCTTAAAGAACTTGTTTTGCAGCAATTCCAGCATGGGTGTCGGTGCGGGCATCACTGGCTGTGAGCGAAATATCATCACGTCAGCGACCCAAAAATCTACAAAAACCGAGAACCGAGTGAGGATCGATTGTATGAAAAGCAGGTGTTCTACAGCCCAGCCATGCGCTTACTTAAAAATGGTACAATGAAAATAACTTCCTCTTCTTGGCAATAACAGTGAGAATAACTTTCATGCTTTACAAACACATGCGCCCTGTATAAAAAACTTCACATTATGGCATGTGGTATGATAGTAACATGGCGTGCTAAAAGTGTACGCTGCTGAGACGTCCCCCGCTACGCCACCGATTACCAAAGAGAGGGAAGACGACTCAACCCCTTTTTATCCGGTTCCCTCTTGGATACTTGTCTCAAACATTTCTCACATACAGGGATTCGAGCTGGGGTCGGGAAGTAATAGACGCTATGACCTGTTCCTGTTTACTGATTCATTTAATTTATTATTAACTTAAAACATCGTATACCACGTACATCAACCACTACACAAAATTATAACACATGATTTGAACATTTGCGACATTTAACACAGGGCAGGCACATAAAGAAAGTAACTGTAACAATACAAGGGTATGCATAAAAAAAAACACACGACGTATTAAAACCGCACAATGTCTCAATATTCCGCATCTTTTCCCGCAAAGCTCGTTTAGGTAAGGGAGGTGAAGTTCGTCTCACAGAATGTCCATGTAGTCGGGGCCTCGGAGTTGGCTGCTGGAATCGGGGCCGAAGGTTGGTTCTTTGCGTCGAGGTCTCATCTGTCCAATTCGTCAGCATCTTCATCATCTTCGTCATCGTCGCCTACGTCGTGCCTCTCAGTGATTTTCATCTTAGCTTCTCTCCCATCTCGAGCTCATCGCATCGTATCTCTGACTCCTGACCCCTCGTATCGTCTCGTAGTCCCTTTTTGTAGGACCCGACTCCGCCCTACCGGGGCACCAAACCAATCGCCACTATCGACGCGGCATATTTATTTGTCAGTCGGAGTGTATCATCTTCAGCGACCGCCCCCGCGGCCTACACCAGTAGAAAACCCTCTTCCAAACAAAGCCGAGCAAGTAACGATGTACAAACTCAAGCCTCAGAGAGAGAGAGAGATGGGCGAGCTGTCCCAAGACACTTTAATTACGGGCGAACAATGGTCCCGATGCTTCGGTACTTGATAAGCCGATGTCCAGACCTAGTCTCAACGTTTCCATGCAGCTCGGTGTCTCCCGCGAAATTCTCCGTAGCCGCCGCTTCTTCGTCATTCAACAGACCCGGCACAGGCGCTGCGGCAGAGTCGCATTCCCCGAACCAATAAAAGGTGCTCTGCTGCTCCCCCATGCCACAAATCTGAAGGGTGCGCGCGGATTACCTCCACTGTACACTGTCAGCACTGTCTGTAGACGACAAGGCGCCGCCCGGTCCTCGTGTTTGCGCCGGGGGGGGGGGGGGGGGCGAGAATAGTAGAAATAATCCTTCCGGTACTCCACTCCGGAATGCCCATTCGTTACACCGAAGGTTTTCTTTTTTTTTTATGCGTGGGTTTGAGAAACGAGCGAAAACATCTTAAAAGGACCGGGGTTCAGTCCGTGTTTGCGGGGACGTCACACTGCCATCGGGCATCAGAACGTGTGATATCATTACGACTTCATTGTTCAAAGTCGGCCCCCCTTTACAAAAGGCACACAGGTTACTGCACATATTCCCGTTAAGACCACAGTGGGAGCACAGCAAGTTCGAAAACATTTCGTGTGCGTACATTATGCAGGTGAATTAAGGAATGCTACCTGTTAGAGAATGCAGCCATATGCGAAAGTTTCACTAAAACAAGCCACTTTCAACTTATCGATTATACTGTAGTAATCCACAATTAAAACTTCTCGAGTAGCATCAATCGATAAAAAATACCCACTAAGTGGTTGAAGTACACACTAGGGACAGGATATCGCTACCGCATTGAACTCTTATTGGCGAAGGTTAAGGGTCCCCCAATTTCACTTCTTTTGTTGGGGAGCTGCCACAACCCTGGCAAGGAATCTGCGCAGCGGTCAGGGTATAATTTGTGCATAGAGAGAAGGCTGGGAAACGTATCTGTTTGGAGTCTGTGGAGTGCCACCTCTTCTTCTCGCGAGAACGATGGTGAGGGCGGGTGCATGGTGCGTCTAGCTCTGGAGGTAATATGTCAATATGTCTCGGTATGCAAGTGGAGGGCCCACTTGATCTGGACTTTCTGCCTCGCTATGCTGGATGGCTCGATGGGTAAGTTCTCAAGCGACCACAGTATTTCATGTCACGGTGGAGTGCGCCACAAAATTTTTTCCTCCCCTTTCTGCTATCCTGCACCCATTCCGCACCAAGACCTGTGGGACAATGCATTCTGCTACGGGCCTCCCGAGGTCCGCCAGGCCTAGGTTCAACGGGCCAGGTTGGTTGCCAAAATCATCATAGGAAACCTGGACTAGAGTTCCCTCACACAGGCTTTTGTTATATATATTTATTAAATCTTTTCTATATCTCTCTTTTCCTTTCTTTCTACCACATAGAGCAATGATCTCTCTGAAACCTTTCCTTCCTTCAGGCCAGGTATTGGACCTTACCCACGTGCTTAGTTGCCACAAGCAACGACGTTTGTCAACATGTGCGAGCTTACAATTGACAAAATGTCATTGGTCACATATCTAGTTTCACTTTCTAAAAGCTGCCATACTTTGGCTTCAGTTAGCTATGACACAGTGTATATTTGTTTGCGTGCGGCTCTTTTCTGTAAAATGAACTATTTCGAATAATCCACTATATTTAATAATTTTCTATGTATACGGTTCGACTGTATCACCTCTCAAGCGGCACCCTCTGGTTATGCCTTTGCTCATCAGGCTCAAAACTCTGTTACGAAACAAATTGGCTTCAGCAGCGCTTCAATTTCTAATGGTGAATTCGACAGCACGAAGAAAAAAAAACAAGCCAACAGACAGCCACACAAAGACCAAAACAGAGACGAAGCAATGTGTAGGCTTACCTTCATCCATCTTTATGCCTTCGTCAAACCGCGAGAACAGCCTGTAGCGCTGAAACCAGTACTTGGTCAATTCAGGGTTGTCCTTTATGTAGCTCGGCATCGCTGGCTCTTCGGAAGGAGAATTGGACGTCGAGTCTGCGCGACAATCCAGATGGTGGCGTAGCTCAGTCAGTCCACCAAGTCAAGCTCTTTCTACATGACGACATTAGCGTGAGAGTGCCCCCTCATGGGAGATGTGTCACGGCAGGCACTTACGTGACAAACAAAAAACGAGCGATAAACGAAGAGACAAGCATGGTCATCAGCAAGGAGTGCAAAAGGGGCACTCCCCCCCCCCCCAAAGCCACACCTAGAACCCCCTTTCCTACCATTATTCAACACGGATTTGCACCCCCCAAGACAACATCCCCGTCACAGCGATCCAATGATGCCAAAATTTGGCATAGACAGTCTGCAGACAGAACAGCAACCAATCATATGAAAGATGAGAGGACATCGTGTGGTACGCACGTTTCATGTCTTCTTCTTGTGATGCCACTGCGCTTTGTTTGCGCAACTTCTTGCGTTTCTTTTTGTTTGCCACGTGAGACTTGGCTGCTCCAGGACCCAACTTGAGTCCCCTGAGAAGGAGGGAGAAGCAGTGAAATTGAAGTATAGCATTTGCAAGCGGCAAAGTTCGAGTGATGACTGGCATATATACACAGCGTGTTTCAGCCAGCTTGCCCCTAGATATACAAAAACAAACTCGTACGCTACTCGCGTCGAGCCGGCCCAATATTGTTCAGAGTCGTGTGCAGCAAGTCGGCATATTTTTCCATTCCATCAAGTTGGATAACTAACAGGGACTGCTTAATTAACTTTTTAACCAGTACCTAGCAAAACACTTTCAATGTAAAGCCTCAAGCATCTATTCAGAATTGTCAGAATACTTGTGCGCGCTAAGGTAACTTTGAATACAATAAGCCGGGTAGTTAACCAAAATTGTTTATTCAATTTTTGGAACAGTAAGTAACAAAAAATATTCAATAGACATGATACTATAACCTTCATTAAGCAATAGTGAATTACGTCAATTATCCTACAATATGTTGAGATAGCTGTGCTGTTAAAATTTGTTTGCAGCTTTTCTCCAGAAAGCACTTCATAAAAAGTGAACTTTGCTTAGAGTTAGCTGAAACATCCTGGATACTCTGTAGTGCAGCCATCAGAAACTATCGATAAGACACAATGGTTAACGCTCTTTTAAAAGGGGGACATGGCAATGGAAGTGGTAAAGTTGGTTAAAATGTCCAATTTTTAATTTTTTTTCCTGCAATCCTGAAATCATATTTTACACCATGATGAAATATTTCCAACCAAATAAGCAGAAGTTGAGAAAAACCCATTTTACTAGCGGGCTGTCATCAAAACCTATGAGAAGATTCGGCTCTAGAAAATGCGAACCAGCAGGTTTTCCATGGCACAATCCTATCAGATTGGCACCATCGCAAAGAGGACAGATCAGAGCTCAAGACATTCACAGAGCTGCATTTCTCCAATGAAAAATCAAAACTACCTTCTTTATGAGATCAATTTTCTCAGCCTTTAGCTACATTTTTTTTGAGCTCGATTTCATCAGCTTTCATCTTTCGAGCAGCTGCTGTCAAACATCCCAGTGCCATTTAACAACAAAGATATAGCGATTTCGTTTTCTGCTCTTAGATCCTGAAGCAATGGTGAGCATTGAAAACCTGTCCATATTTGTCTGTGTGTCATACAAATGTTTATAATTCGCTATTTGTAAAAGTTCTTGGTAAAACAAAATGTACAGGACATTTCAAAAAATGTTTGTAAGCTTATCTGAATACTAAAAAGTGAAGCAACACCATTACGGCACGGAACAGGCCCTCATAAATATATGCAAAAATCTTGACAAACATGAATAATTCATTAATTATTTCAGGATGACAATGAGTCTACTAAGTGTTTAACTAAAAAACTACAACACATATGATATCTCAAAACCAATTTCAGTTATGATATCAGCACAACGAATTGAATCTACATGCACAATTTATCTCTTAATCGCCATAAATGACAAAAATAATTTTCACTGCCATTGAAGGGCACATATTCACTCTAGGTGAAAAATGAAGGTGCACCATTAGCCAAGCTACAGTGGAACATCACCAGTATACTACATACAGTATTACCGATTCAGGTGCATTTCTTCTCCACAGATTGACAACTCTCTAGAGTCCTTCAAAATCACAAGCTCCACAAACGGTTTTCACAAAAAAAGTTCGATCCAAGTTACTCACTTGAGGCTTTCCTTTAGAGACAGTCCATAGGATATGAGGGCTCTGAACGCATCCTCTTCGTCAGAGTTTGCATCCTCCTCGTGACTGAAAATGTATGAGAACATTTGTATTAACATCTTAAATTGTGGTAGAAGAAAAAAAAAGTCCCTACTTGCACTGCAAATGCACTGGGATATCAGCAATAAGAGAAAAAAAAAACATGGCAAACAATACAGAAAACTTTATTGCCCAGACAAGTGCTAAGCTGAGAAATGTTCTCTTTATGAATGACAAACTAAAATGGGAAGATTGTGAAAGAGAATCATGGCCTTGCAATGAGCTCCTCTGCAAGGGCACTGAAACTGAAACAAATTTAAATATCCATAGGCAGACACGAAAATCATAGAAATTGCACGTCTTGTCTTTACTCCTTTCCCGCCTAGTTAATGAGACTGAGGGCAGTCTTCATCATCCAGGAAACGGGTACTGTCTCAACCCTCCCCAAGAGTCAAGAAAAAAAAGATAGAAACAAAACTTTGCCCATATAGTGTTTCTCAGGAACTTCCCTGCTAGGGCATCCAAAACGAGTGCTCAGAACACAGCATATACAAAGATATGAGCCACGGGCTCACCCTGTCAAGACAGGGTGCACTAAAGTGCATCTCCCTTGCTGGAACCATGCAGTCCCACCCCTTCAGAGCCCATTAGCCTCCCACATAACGAAAAGAGAGCTGGCATGTTTCCTTTCAGTCTAAGCCCCAATCGTCGGCTGCCCTTGTACCCTTTCACTGGCATATAGAACATGTGCAGCGTTGGGACTATGTCATCGCAACTTGAACCTTATGCTGGTCACTATGACGATGTTGGCGGGAAAAATGTGCCTGCACGTTCAAAATAAAACGATGGGAACGGCTGCCGTGGACATGCGTCAGTGGCCCTCTCTCCCTCGAAGGGCCAATGGAGTCTTAAGCCAACATGCTTTGATGAGTCACTTGAAGTCGAATACAACTTTAAAATTCTGCAGCATTTCCTCCTTGAATGGGCATGTATACAAGCTTGCCCCAATTGACGTACATTCCAGACTAACGTCATAAGCCAGGCCAAGAACGTTGCCAAGTGCATGAGCGGGACTATTCCTTTTGTAGCAGAGCCGATTGGTTGGCGCACTTCAGTCATTGACTGATATGTGGGGTTTAACATCCCAAAACCACCATATGATTATGAGAGACGCCGTAGTGGAGGGCTCCGGAAATTTCGACCACCTTGGTGCACTTCAGTCACCTGCGTGTGATGGGTGGGGGTAAGGCTCTCTGAAATTCTTAACATCCCCTAAACCACCTCCAATATCTTTGCAAACATTTCAACTAAGCACGCACATCGTGTGCAGAATGCAGTCGCGATCAACGATTCTACACGTGACAGTGCTACGAGCCGCCTGCATGCCACAAATTTCAAGAAACATCCCTTCTCCTCTACGGGCCTTTTGGGCCTCTTTGTGATGTGCAGTATGGATATCCCTGACGCGCAACGCAAATATGCTGTGATTGGTCGAGCAAGATCTTACAGTTTACTGTCAGTCTGCAAGCAGCTGTCTGCGCTCCTTGCTGTTGTTCGCCGCATTGCCTGAAATGTGCATGCAGGCGCGTGCTCTTGAATCAGCTACTGCTGCCCATAACACAGGGTCCATACAGGCATGATTCGTATAAGCAAGGGCTGGCATGGCAGCCGCGGTTTGCAAACAAGCACGTAGTTGACGGACTCGACAGAGGGACTGAGTCGCGGCAACAGGAAGTAGACGGTGTTTCTAGCGGCACGTCAGCGGTGACGTATGCCGGGTGAAACTGGGAGGGTTGCTCAGCGAGAGGCCGAGGCGGCTCTGAGAGAGGATACCATTGAGGGTAGTGAAGAAAAGAGCGAAAGGAGTGATAGCCGCACTTTTGATAATCAAATGTGTCCAACTCCGCAATTACGGCACTGTTTTGAAGAAATCCTCACGGCTCTGTGTTTGTCATACATTCGTGCACAATTTCCCAACCACAACTGAATTTCGGCCTCTGGGAGGTGTAGGGGCCATTTGAGTTATATCCGACTATAAGAGACACTCCCGAGCTGCTCCCACTAGGCGGTGCCAGCGAGTGCGCCGCCACAGCAGAGGTCTTTCAGGGATCCGGCATATGATAGCTTGATGCTTAGCAGTGCTGCACTTCAATAAACAGTTTTCTTAGAAAAATATCAACATAACACATGCTGCTGAGAACCTTGGTTGTGGTTTGACGACGTTCGCACACGAGACCACGACAAAGGCGACAACCGTGCTAGCACCCCCTGAGAATGACGTCGCGCAAATGCATCCCACAGTTTTTCGTTCGATTGGACGATAAACTGTAAAGTTTCACCCAGTACTAGCCATACCCCTAGCCAGACCCCTTTTGTGCTATTGTATATATATTCAGAAGAATATTCCTGGCTCACTGGTTGAATTATATGAAAGAAGGTGACAGTGAAAAACATAATTTTATTCTGAGCTTTCGATCAAGCACCGGTTTTTATCTTTGATAAAGACCAGAGATAAAGGCCGGTACCTGGCCAAAAGCTCAGAATAAATACCGTTTATGTGTTTCACTGTGACCTTCTTACACACACACACACACACACACAAACACGTGTGTGTGTGTGTGTGTACACATGTGTGTTTGTGAAGCACCAAGTGGATGTGCAGACCGTCCACACAATCTTGAAATAAAAAGACCAAGTTTTTGACACTATGGGAGTAAGACAACTGTGTGCAAGCCCTGCCTCTGTAAAATTTGCTCTGCTACCAAGATGAGCTGTCCTCAGCGTCGAAAATAATTCGTTCAATAGGTTCCAACAGCACACAAGTTAGCAAGTTGGTCCCGTGCAGGTATGGTCCCCAAGAATCATAACACGGGCATCCAACTCGTGCGTACATTTTAATATATATGCAGCACATGACCGCCATGGCAAGGGCAAGAACCAGCCAAGAGTGTCTGTATAACTGCCATCCAAATAAAGATCTATTTATTCACAATCTTTACCGAAACTCCCCCTCTACACAATGAGAAAGAAGACACAACACTCGCCTCCGTTTCAGCTTCACAGGTCTCTCGTCAGGTGGGTCGTCTCCGTCGTCGTCACTGTTGCCATTTTGGGCCTTTCTGGTGCCAGCACCACTTTCCGCAAAGTGAGCGCTAGTAGAAGGACTAGATGCATTCTCCCCACTTGAGCCTTTCGTGTTGGACGAGCATGAGGAACCGTCGCAATCCCCGTTCCCAGAACCCGATGGACACTGCCGGGCACCGTCAGACTTTTGTCCGTTGTGTTGCACCAGCCCAGAGTTCTGCGCACTCTCCCCAGTCACCTCGTCAAATGTTTCACTTTGGGCGCTGATCCTGGCAGCTTCGATGACTATGTCGCCTTCATCGTGCCTTTCGCTTCGCACTTTGGTTTCGTAAGTTTCCTCGCACACAATTTGTTTGTACTTCTCAAATTCGAGTCTGCACACACGATCACAATGGGCATTCCAAAGTTCCTGCCAAAGGCTCGCATCTTTTGGCATTTTAGAACCACCACGATGCAACGAAACAGCGAGGTCATTCTCACCAACAGGAGGGCACCTTCGGAGGCACTCGTCTGCATTTGGCAATGACCGGTCGAGTTCCACCGATGCCAGGAACAAGGGTTCCAGAAACTCTGGGTACGTATCAATCCACGAGTCCCACAGAAGGTGGCTGCCATTGTGAAGCCAGTATTGGTCCCAGCTTGGGAAGTCTTTGTTCTTAAGTTTTGAGGAACGCTTGGACCGGCCTGAAAAGTAAGGTTCCCTTTTAAATTTGAGGAACTAGTTCAAGTAGTGCCTGCAAGCTCTTTAGAATATGCTAAGAAAGAATTCCTGATATGGACAGAAATGTTGGTGTGAACACACAACTGCAAGGGCATTTTGACAAGACACGCAACCTCCAATCTCGTACAAAGGATTGCATACATCAATCACACAATTGATGAACTATTCTGTTCTAGTAGCTTTCAGAGCCTCTATTTCCATCCCGTGCAACATCAGTGACCACTGTATGGCAGTCACAATGACTGATCGATGCTGCAATCTTGTACACACTTCTAAATAAGCATAGAGAAGTTTCATTCAATCGAGCCGCACACGATTGGTCCGTGTGAGCTGTGACGAGCACCGTGATGTCATTTGACCAATCGCATGCGGCTCAGTAGAACAGAATGCATACAAGATCAGCACCACGAATGTTACCACTGCGTGATTGTTCATGCCTATGGATAACTTGCGGGCGACGAACTGAAGAGCCCGAATCCACAGAAGTTTCAATCTTCCCGAGAAACAGTGGCTGACGTACCCCAGACTGAAGGAAGTAAGCATTGCACTCTTGATGGTCCTGACCATGCTGTAGGTCACTCAGTCTGAAAGGGTTCTTTCGCAATATTTCACTCAAATACATTGCACTCATTTAATAGTGCTGCAGAGCTAAAAAAAACATTTCGCAGTTTTACCCTTTGGACAAACCACCTGAGAGCTACAGTAGGGTGTAGCAGGGCACCAAGCCTCCTGATACACTGTTCTAACAATATTCACAACATGGTGTGTTGGTTCAATGCAGAGCGTAATGTTAATGGCACTACCGAGCAGTACAACAAGCACGGCATCTACTACAGGCGTCTCGAAAACACTGCCTACCAGACAGCTACCTAAGAATCATTGCTCAGATTCTTTGCATACAATATTGATGCTAGCAGCAGAGGATTACATTCACTTCAGAGGAGACTGAGTAGAACTACAATGCAACAAAACTATTGAGTTGGCCTAGTTTGGTAATATTTGTTATGAAATTTTCATTTGAACTGCACGACCTTTCTATTTTCTGAGTCCACACCTTCGGCATGCTTCGAACTAAAAATTCATATTGAGTAAAGCATGTCAGTGTGTCTATCAGGCTTTGTTATTGTAGCGAGATGCACTGAACATCCCTGACACCTCTCAACACCGGCGTCACTATACTGCGGAACGAACATGCACTAACAATACTGCGAAAGCACAGTGGAGTCGATATGCCTCAAGTAATATAGTTTGAATACTGCAATAAAGTTTCTGGGCAACTCTCTGAAGCACCATCATTTACTGATGAGCTATACAGTAGTCTTGAAAATGTAGTTAATACCTGAAACATTGTGAAGTATCTACATAATTTTAGTATGCACAGGGGGGATCAAAAGTTCCAAGACTACTATCCTATGTATTTCTCTAAGGAAGCGTGGCCTGAGAACTTCTAAGACTGTACATACTACGAGGTGCTTGAACCCTTCAATAAACTAAAATGCAGCAGCTCATACTATGATTATATAACTTTAAACATATACATTAAACATATACATGGTGCAAAAAAGAATTGCGCAATCTTATAGAAAGCAGGGAAATTAGAATTCTGTTCACCCAGCATAAATTAGCAGCATAAACATACCACTAAACTAATTAAACGAATATTAACACTCACATTTCTTGTTGTTCTTTGGCTTTTTCTGCTGCCCAGCTGATGCAAACTGCACAGGCAGGCCCATCTGCTTCATCAGCTTCAAATCACACTCGTCTTCGAGCAAGACAACGTCCCCTTCGCTGACTGCGCAGTCGCTTTTCACCATTGAGTCAGTAGAACTGACCTGTTCGTCTTTATCACAATCTGCAGTTTCACAGTGAGTTCCATTACAGGTACCTGAAGCCCTGTTCTCGCTGCTAGCACAGCCAAAAGGCTCCAAGGTGCCGTTTATCGCCTTGGACTGGTGTTGGACGGTGTCCAGCTGTTCCAAGGCGGCAGGGTTCGTATGCTCCACTGTCCCAGCAAAGTTCATCTGCTCTGCATCTGAAGCAGCGGTGCCGACATTTGTTAACCCGGAATGCTGCGTGCTGCCATGTACCTGACTGCTATGGCCAAAAAGGCTGTAATAATAGTTGTACACTTCGAAGTAATGCTGCTCCCAGACTTCAGTTCCACAGCTCATCGTCGGACTTCTGAGCAGAAGCAACGGCACTTCCATCATCACCTTCCGGATGCCCCTTGTGCAAAGTATTCTCAACTCTGTCATGCTCGAGACGTTCTTTGTAGTCGTCTTTCCCACCTTCATTGGTAGTACTGCAGGCGCTGCCGTTGCCAGACTGGCCACCCTGGCCGGAAGGCAGTATTGCAGCCACAGACTCTTCATTGAGGCAAGTCCCTCCACTGAGTTTTTCATTCTCCATTTGGACATCACCTCCGGCAGACTGGTCTGCAGAGAGCGCTGAAGAAGCAACTTCGACCTCCGGCTGTCTTCCCTCGTTTGCACCATCTAGTAGTGCTGCAGCGCTATCTCCTGAAATGGAAGCTACCTGGCCACCCGATGCAACAGTGGAGTACTCTTCGAGGTACTCCGGAGAGATGTACTCGCCGTAGCGCTGAACCCAGGACTGCCACACGAGGTTGTCTCCGTTTTTCTCCCAAAAGTTTTGCCAGTCGTCCACAGTAGCTGCCGAGCTCTGATCTTCAGGCTCATTGTAACACAGCAGCTCTTCATTTTCAGCTGAGAACACACACAAAAAAAGAGCAAGACGTCTGAAACATCAACGCTTTACGGCTGCTGAGCTCAGCATGTCACTATTGCCTAGGGTATACTTGCTTAGAACATGAAAAAAAAAAAATTACAGCACTGTTAGAACATGAAAAAAAAAAAATTACAGCACTGCCCACAGAACCACGGCGCGCCTGCCCATCACCTGCAAACGATAATTGGACCTGCCGGTTTTTGCTCGAACAGTAAGTACTTCTCGAGTGATGTAAACACATGTATTATGAATTAAAGGTTCGATATAACAACCTAAAAACATTATGTTTGGCCAAACAGCGATGTCAGCATTACTGACAAAATTTTGCAAGACGTTAAGCTTTCTAACCTCAAACAAGTGGCCCAAACTTCTATCTATGTGGCAAAGTCAGCTATCTGAGATACTCGAGTGCTTGATGTCACGAAAATGAGCAAGCGCTGTTGGGCGGAGCCCTTATGATAATTCTTAAGGGAGGAACGGTGAGGCCATGGGTGGAACTGCTTCTCTTTTTTATTATTCCTCTTTTTAGGTTGCAATAGAGCGCACATAGCGTGACAATGCACAGTGCAACCACGTGTTGAAATAAGGAAGCATGGATGTTTGCTCCCCACTGGCAACTCTGTACATTGTGCTAGCATTGCAAGAGCGAGAGCGCGAGGTTGCCGAATAAAACCCGTTCGCAAGTGCTTGTGAATACGAGATGCCCTTCTTGTCGCTTTGATAATACAGCAAACTAATTTAACCCAACTTACATGGCTGAACCTTAGTAACGTTCAGCCATGTGAACCTTGGTATTTGGTAAGGTTCACAGCTTTCGAACCTTACCAAATACTATGGTAAGGTTCATAGCTTTTGAGCCTTACTAAATACTAGTAAGGTTTAAAAGCTATGAACCTTACTAAGTACTACTAATTTCACAGTTACTCAATACTTCAATAGTTTGGTGTAGCTGTTGAAGGAACAATAAAAGGAAACAATAATTTATATGAAAAGCAAACCACAATTCGTATCAGAGTCAAAGATCAGTGTCTGAGAAAGTCTAAAACATCAATACCACCAACATCAGTGCTCTACCAGTTGAGAAATTAAGGTAAATGTATGACATCATTTGCACCACAAGTGGGAGATTTTAAAATGATCCAAATGAGGTCAAGAGTTCTGAGTACAATTGATCAAACCAGTTGTAATAAAAAATAACCTTCCGTGCATTACAGCATGTAATAAAATGCCACTTATCTGTTTGATGCATGCCATGGGGAATGGCCCGAATGGTTCAAAAGTTCAGTCTTCATCGAACTGCGCTTTGCTCACACGTCGCATCTCAGTGGTGATTTTGCTATCACGTACTATTGTGTGTGCTCTGCACGCTCACGAATGTTGCTCCGACAGAAAAATAGAGGCAAATCTAAGAGCTCCTTTTCTTTGATGGACACAATATCAATTTCTGTTAGCTTTCATTAGTATTGCTAAGACAGAAAGTTAGCAAGTGAAGTTGACGGATGACCGAGTGGTGTACGCCGCTTGAGCTGAAGCAAAAAAAAAAAAAAAACAAAAAAAACAAGGCTTTCCGTTAGTGGCACAAAACGAACCACTATGCTCGAAGCCGCTGAATGCCGTACTTCTGCGCCAGTGTGCAAAATTGCCAAAAATGCACAGTACGCGTGCTGCGATTCCGTGCGGTGGACTAAGAGATCAATCACAACTTGGGTAAGGCTTGTAAAGTGCCCTTCTTAGCAGTGCTCTGCTGCTACCAGTGTTGGTGGCCACTCAGTAGAAGCGGGCAGCGTAGGGCAAGGCAAATGCTATGTCAAAAGGCCCACTCAGTTGGGAGGTTTGAAGTGTGCCAATGCCGAGCGAACCAGTGAAATATCCTTATTTTATTGCAAAATAAGGATATCCTGGACACAAAAGTAGCATTATTAGGTTTCTGGGCTGCTGCTATTTCAACATTCGTCAACCAAATATTTTTCCCTTTAGCATCTCTTCAATGCTTTACCAGAAGAACCAAGTTCTTGGCCAATAATGAGACCTATTAGCTGTGTTATAATGTGCATAACTGTGAGCAAGAGCTCTAGAATTGTGAGCTAGAAATTGCACAGATAATCAAGACAAGAGCTCTAGAATTGTGAGCTAGAAATTACACAGATAATCAAGACATTAACTTTTCGTATTATCAAATGACAAATAAATGAAAGCCTTTCCTGTGCTCCCTCAAGTTTGTCTCGGTACCACCTGTTGACAAAAAAAGAAAGCACCATGCTTCCCGAGAACTGCCTCAAGGTATCCATGAAGCACAGTGACTGCTTATGCAGGCTGTGTACACTTTATCAGTTGAGCTGGAGGGCTTGGCAAAGGAATATTGTAGAACACAGAGGTAATCTACGATACACAGGTGAATCAAATGTGCTAATGGAATCGCAGGCTTAAGAATGTATTAGAGAATGCCATTTCCTTTTCGGTGCTTGCACCTCTCCCGGGAACGAGCACCAGCACAGGGCTTATCTATGAATGTTTTCAACAAAAAGCAAATGGCAAGAATAGGAAACCTATCGCACCACAGGCATCACCCTGGCTCCTTCCGCCATCGCGTCTCGCAGATGTGAAGGATGCTGGCAGTCCCATCTCAGCCATGAGAGCAGCTTCCCGGTCCAGCAGCTGCCTCTTCTCCAACTCTTCTTCATCCTCGACATTATCCCCTTCCGTGCCCAGGTCTGACTCTTCGTAGCGTGGCCCCACGACATCACACTCCCTGCGGCAAAGTAAAACATTGAACTCTATCAATCAGTGCTTGTGCAGTCTGTCTGCTCTTCACCTGCATGTCTCCTCAAGCTATCTACGATCAGTTTAACCCCACTGCGAAGCACATGACGACCTACTGTCTGCATATTATAGAAATTCACATAAAATAATTGTATGATTCTGAAAACCCAATTCAAAGCAAGTCAAAGTGCTGTGATAAGTGTATTTTATAGCAATTATTTGTAATTACAATGTGAACGACTACTTAATTATTGTACAGCCAGTCATGCTATAGACGAATATAAACGGAATTCAACAACTCACCAAAACTACATGTGGTAGCAAGCACTCCGAGAAAGGGTAAAAAAATGCTTTGCAGTTCTCGCTGAAACGCCTCCCAAGCAATGCTCGACAAATCCAGCACCGTATGCCCCAAAGTGATTAAGTGTGGAAATATGATTGTCCAGGAGTAACATCAATAAACTTTAAACAACACCAATACTTAAATTACCATTAGCTCAGTGTTTGCAATACCATCCTTGACATTGGTGCGAAAAGACGGCAAAAGTAAGCTGCGTCTCCAAATGAAAATGCCGTGTCCCAAAGGGTTGAACCACCAACCATCCTACAAGCAATGCAGTCAGCCTCAGATTTCCAAACTTTACAGCATGGACATTCCTTGCACGGTGTTCAATAAATGCTATCACAACACTCCGCAAGCTAAATTATTTTAGTGCTAGTAGCCACTGCCTCAAGAGGTGTCATAGGATGAATGAAGGGCTACGTTCAATTTAGTTCAAGATGCAAATATCTATTAGGTAAGCCTGCTTTCAGGGGACAAATTTTTCCAAGTGATCGATTCTCTTGTTTGATAGAGCGTGGAAGACATGCCAACATAAATATTCAAATCACTGCACGAGTCTTTTTTGTATAACTGTTACCGACTTTCACCATGCTAACTGTTCACGAACTGCAAGGGCAAGGCATCAGCACAATATTAATCCCACTAACAAATTAAGTACAAGCACTCAGGCTAGATGAACTTCCTTTGGAAAATATCTTCTCGCCTAAGTTGGTAGAACAAAATTACAGTGAGTCAAGAACAGACATGATTGGTAACATGAGAGCGTAGAATGTATAACATAGTCAAAGGCAGAAGCTCTGAGCAGCTACAGCATTTACTACCTACTTCCTTGCAGCTTTGCATGCCTGCTGGTCTTGTGACAATACTGGTTCCCAGTGCATCTAACTAAATCGAAGGCTCTAAGAGAAGCGCACTGTGTTTTAGCCATGCAAGCACCACTCAAGTCATTCCAGTAACAGGCACCCATAGTATTATTCATCTCTAGAAAACTCGATCAGGAAACTTACTAGCCCTTTCTTTTTTCTAGCAAACGAAACAATGCTTTGCATCAAATTACAAGAATGCTTTGTGACACTTCAAAGAGTGAGGTACTCTCACTAGCCATAAGGGCGTGCTAACGGCCTACTTGGCAAATCTTCGCAGATCGGGAAGACATAAATTCTGCAATACACACAATGCACCACACGCTGTTTTGACATTGTGACAATATGAGAGGTGTTCGACTTCACAATAACGGTGTGAAGTCACTTCCATACCAGCTATAAGATCTTGAAAGCAGACATTTGGTGTTTTCGGGAGGAAACGACACATCTAGTATTTTGAGCCAGTAGTCCGGATGACTTGCACCACACAGCCAGCCTGCAAGTAGTATGCATAAGTAAGTAGTATGCATAGCCAGCTGTAAGTACTATACATGAACAATTCAGTCATAAATTTCCATATTAGTGACAGACAAGCAGAACCAGTTAAAGATCTGGTCATACCAAGACATGATAGAATCTGAATGAGGTCAATAAAGCATCATAAAACAATCATTATATGCATATATAGGGTCAATCATAGCAGCTCTTACCAAACTACTGTGGTGAAAAACAAATTATTCACGCAAAGAAAAATTGATCCTACAGCAATTTGTGGAACGAAGCTACCAAGAAATTTACTCCGATTATAAGAGAAGCTCCTGGACAATCAGTGTGCTACAGTCCAGGGTTCAAACGCAGGACCGACGCCTCTCTGGAGGTAGTTGCTCTCCCAGATGGGCTAACCAGGAGGCTAGTGGTTGGTTGTGCGAAGGCGATTTAATCAACAAGTGAAGTCGAAGGCCAAAGACGCGTTCTGTGGGCGACCCCATCACCCAGTTTTCGTTAGCGAAAGCAGATAGGAATAAAGAAAAGCAAGTCACGCCGGCAGGAGGCTATTCGTTACACCGCGAAGATCGACGCACCCAGGCCTCCAGCGACGCAGCGTCCCCGGTGTAGCGAATGTTCGGGCTGTGGTTCGACGCAGTAGGCCGGGTGACCGCCGCATTCGATGTCCGGCGCGCTGACGACTTTGTCGCGGGCTTCGGCGTCCGCGAACCTGAGCAACCAGATGTGGTCGCAGTCGTACGGTCCCAGCATGGTCAGGCGCGCGGCGTCATCGAGGTGTTCTTCGATGCCGGCTAGCACCGTCGTGGCATCGTAGGGCTTCGCCGCGCGGCTCAGGAAGAGGATCGCCGCGAGGTGCGTGTCCCTGAGAGTTGACAAGTCGGGCATGACGTACTGATCGCTGCAGAGGACTCGTGAACACCCGTCATGCGGAACGCGCCGCCCGGGTACCATGTCGACGGACCATCAAGCTTGCCAGCTAGTTTTCATCCTGGCAGTAGCAGCGTCCGATTTCATGGAACTTTCGTGGCACGTCCAAGAGGGTCAACGAGTTTACTACTAGGATAGAGGCGCGTCCCGCAACAAGTGCAAATTCGCACCATAAACTACCACAGAACACCTACTGAAACTACGCGGAACTGATCACGCGCGTTCCACTCGCGATTGTCAAAAACTGAAAACGCACGCACGTGTCGAGAAACAGACTTGACCATAACCCGCCAAAGTAGAAAATGTTTAAATTGTGCAGAGGCCGCTGTCAAGCTGTTATATAAAAAATATTGTAATTTTAAAATTTTACACTACACATTGTTTTGACAAATAAAGAAAGCAAATAAAATAAGTTATATTTTGCGTTTTATTTAGATGTATACAGTTAAAGCATTATTACATATATAAGAGGCATTAAGTCATGGCTGCCTTTTTCTGAAGATTTGCGCTTGTAGTGTTTGTGTCGCCGGTGTCACTGCGGTCAGTTTCGTTTTCGATGTTTGAAGCGTGTTGACATGATCTGCTCGCTGCGCGACCGGCACGAGTTTTGATGCCGTGTTCTTGTCAAACAGAGAGAGGCTCAATTACTTTCCAGGTGTTCAAGGGTTGCGTCGTCGTACGCTCCCCGTTGGACTCGGGAGTCTTGTTCTTCAAAAAGCTACCTTTGTTCGTTCTCTGACGGCACGGCGATGGAAGTCGGCTCCGAAAAGCAGCCGCTGCCGTCGACTTCCAGCGCCGAATGTGGCGCGAACGACTCGAACAACGACGATTCTTCGTCGCAGGCAGCGTCCGAAGCGATGGAACCACTGTGGCTGTCGGACATGGGCGTAGCTGGAACCCAAGAGATCGAGGACCCCGATGAAATCGGCGAGTTCTTTTTCGAATCGGACCACTTGGCTCTGCGAGGCAGTGTGGACTATCGGAACACGCTCAAGACGCTTGCAGTGCTCGAAGCGCAGAGGGTGCAGGTGAGGACACTTCGTTAGCACGCAACTAAAGGAGTTTTTTTTTTTTTTTTTTTTTTGCCGAGCTTGCACGGTAATCCATTTTCCTCTGGCGCATAGTCGTATGCCAAGTGTCAGCACAGTAATTGAACATGAAATGGCAGCCTGAACGCTGCCAAACTGTGCTTGCGTGTGCGACCAAGTGCCGTTTCTATCTCGCACACACGGTACCAGACTTGCCTTGTTGTACCAGAAAGCCAGTGTCCACCTAAGCCAAGCGGCACCGCCTACAAACGAAATTGGTAGTTTTAATGACTGGAAATATTTCGCGCGTCGTATAGACTGGAAGTGGTTGTCCGACTTCATGAAAGAGTTTAATTACGAATGTTAGAAATCGCCCTTCCAGCAAGACCTCGTGGTGTATTAGACCGAGTTTTCGCAAGAGGGAATGCGCAAATTTAGTATTTCATATACACAACCCATACCTAAACGTTGATCACTCGTTCGTTACCTTTACAAGAGAGTGGGGAAATGAGGTGCATCATGAATGAAAGCATGGACATTAAAAGAAGTTGTGTGCATCATTTAATATGTGGGCGTTTGTACGCTTTCACGTGATTACAATCAATACTCAAGAAATATTTAACAGTTGAAAGCGCAAGATACCACGCTGCATCTGTGCGTCTTTCTGTGTGTTTCGTCTTTGTTGCGCTATTTAGTTTTAAGCATGAACCGATTTGCCCAAGCATTTGTTTTTAAAGTTCTAACTCTGTTGTGCCTTGATTTTTGTTTTATGCCCCAGGTCATACAGGACATCGAGAAACTAATTGAAGTCCGCGAAGACGCCCTGGCCGATCCAATCAGATTCGTCGAAAGGCTCCAAAAGAAGGAGGACCTCGGCATTCCTCTTCCTCAACTGGTCGCTCCGCTGCCGAACATTGATTGGAGCCAGTACAGCCTCACGGGCATCCAACGAGGCATCGAGAAAAAACGTCAGCTCACGAGGCACGCGGCCAAGGCCGAGCAGAGAAATGCGCAGTCGTCCAATAGCCAAGGGCAAGGCGGAAGCATCCTCATCCGGGGACGCGTCTTCAACGAGAGCAAGCCTGCGACGTTCAACCAGCTGTGGACCGCAGAAGAGCAGAAGCAGCTCGAGGACCTGCTCATCAAGTTTCCGCCAGAGGAAGTGGAGAGTCGGCGGTGGGAGAAGATCGCGAACGCCCTGGGAAATCGCACGCCGACTCAGGTGGCCAGTCGGGTCCAGAAGTACTTCATCAAGCTGGCCAAGGCAGGCTTGCCAGTTCCCGGCAAGTTACGGACCGTCATTCCGCCACGCAAGACAGGTTCCCGAAGGGGCCACCACCGTCACGGCCCTCAGGGATCATCGAGTTACATGTTCTCGCACTCCACGTTCTTTGCGTCACGCAGACCCCCGGTGTTCATGTCCGAAGCGGACGACGAGTCCAGCGTTTCATCGTGGAGTTACTTGGAAACAACGAACGGAAGCCAGGACAAGTCAGAAGCAGCACGTGTAGAGAACGATGATGAGGATGATGTTCAGGTCGATGCGGCCGTGAAAGAATCTCCGGAGTACCAGGAACTCGTAGCTCTGCAGAAGGCCCGGGAAGAGCGGGTGAAACGGACAGGACTCGCACAGCACGTGGGTTTCCGATGCGACAGGTGCGAATGCGAGCCTATTGTGGGAACCCGTTGGCACTGCACCGACTGCCCCGCAAATGCCTCGATCGACTTTTGCAGCGACTGCGTTGATTGCATGCACGAGACGGTGACTCACAAAGAGGACCATCACTTAGAGGCCATTCGTGTCGCACAGGACAGCTCAACATTCCACGACCGGGACTACATGAGCTTTACGGGTGCGGATTACAACTATCTGGACCCCAATTACTTACCTGGCTCCAGCTGACAGCTTTGTGCAACACTTATCATCTCCACAGTGTGCATCGCAGAGCATATGCAAAGATTTCACATATGTGTGTTTCACATACTATAGGCTACAAGTTGTGCAGTTGAATAGGTAGCATTTATTTCTTCATGTTCCCAAGGGTGTTGATTCGAACTAGGCGCTGCCACACCATTCTCCTCCTTGCAGTGGTACGTGCAGACCACCACAATTAACTTCAGTGATTGCAAAGTGTTTAGTAGGTAACTGCTGTAACTTCAGGTGACTCAGAGTTGATGAGCTGCTGCTTGGACGTAATGACTACAAAAATATTTTAAAGCGAAAGATAGCAGCCATATATGCTAAAGGGTATGCCTAAAGCAGCAGCGTCTCTAAACCATGCTACAATGGCGCGTAGGCCTACGCCTATGGTAGCAGTATCCAGAGAGTCAATAAAACTGCTACTGATTTTGACCTTTTGTGTATTTGTTCAGAGAGCCGAACATGTGTGGGTGTTTCTGGACATGGAGGGCAGGGGTAGTAGTGTCAGAAGATCCGAGTGTGTGTTAGTGCGACAGTGCGGAAGCCAATGGGTATTGGGTTCCACACTGTCGCAGTTGTTCCCGCCTGGTATTCAGCTGGAAACTTTTCACGCCTACCGGTGGCATGGGTCGATGCACTTAAATCGCTATAAAATCCTCAACAAACATCATAGAATAACAAACTTTGTTTTATTTGCTTAACAATGCTTGACAGCATCAGGTGCTTCAGTTTGATTTGCACATGAAAAAGTTTAAAGCACATGGGCACATGAGGAGTAACTTCACATTTTTCACACTCCCATCGGCTTTCGGACTTTCTGCCCTGTGCTTCACAAACTAAGCAAGGACTTCATGCAATCTGCTTGACTTTGTTTGCGTTTGCCAGGATGTGATGAGGAAAATGAGCCCATTCTGCAGCTTGTAAGCGCAACGGTAAGGCCTTGACACGACGTTTCCGTGATGCCATGTTTTGGAAAAGCTGGGATAGTGCACCCATTATCGCTAAAGAAAAAAAAAAGACTTGCAAACAACTAAATAACATGGACAACTATGTACATATAGCAGATGATATACCAAGCAAAAGGCAAACACAAAATACTGTCCTGCCATCTATGAAACAATGCAAAAATTAAGATTTTCTTGGCGGCTTGCGATTCGCCAGTCAAAGTGCTTTTAGCCTCTCCGACCCCGTCGGCAGATGCCAGTGGGTTAAGCATATGAAACCTGTAAAGATCTCTTCAGCTATCATGGATACTCCTGTTGCAGTGACACTATCTATCAGGGTATATAAGACGCAACTGCCAAAATATTTAAGGCATGAAACAACAAACAAGGTAGCATTCCTATTACACAAGCATTTCTCGTACACCTCATTTGAGGTGTGTCGCTCGTCCACATGATTAGTGTCATGAGTGTCAAGTTGAATGCAAATTCCAGTAAGCCATGTTTGTAAATAAAATTGCCACATCAATGTCGCTTGCATATGATTGATATGTGGGGTTTAACGTCCCAAAACCACCATATGATTATGAGAGACTTTGTAGTGGAGGGCTCCGGAGAGACTTTGTAGTGGAGGGCTCCGGAAATTTCGACCACCTGGAGTTCTTTAACGTGAACCCAAATCTGAGCACACGGGCCTACAACATTTCCGCCTCCATCGGAAATGCAGCCGCCGCAGCCGGGATTCGAACCCGCGACCTGCGGGTCAGCAGCCAAGTACCTTAGCCACTAGACCACTGCGGCGGGGCGTCGCTTGCATACGGTCTTTCCTTTTACACTTACACTGAGCCCCCTTTTTTCTTTCTTCAAATGCGAATTATATATATTTCAAATGCGAATTATACGTATTACAGACATTATATTTATAGAATTATATTTCCTTGTGGATGATTTGATCTTTTTGACAAAACATGCACTGTCGTTGCTAGCATAAGCAAAGCTTTTTTAAATAGTACTCCCAGAAAACTTTGATACAACTGGAAGTTACGAAGTAATGGTAATTCAGACATGTTCCCTACACATGCAATTCAATGTACTCAATAATAGTAAAAGGTTAGTAAGCCTAAAGATGTAATATTAAAGGAGCAGTGACATCAACTTTATGCGTGTCCCTGCTTTCTGTGTTCACGTATAGCAATTAACCCCCTAGTAACATTTCCCTACTGATAATGCAACAAAGGAGCAAGTTAGTACCATTCGTAATCATGATCAGTATGACCTGTATTCAGCACGATTCAAGACAAGTGCAAAGCCCGCCAATTAGCAGTGCTGCCACGCAGTCGCCTCCTATAATCGTGCTACGAAAGGGCCTCCATCTGATCACGTGGTCCCACAAAACGGAGACGCAAGTTTCCAGCAGACATTTCACCTGCTAGGCATGCATATGTAGCCACGTTTTCGTCACCACCACCGTCACCACGGCTATCATCACTGTTTACTAGTGACAAAAAAAATACTGAGAAATATAGAACTGTTGTATTTGCCACATCGTACATCATTTTCACTTCGAGCCTCTGCAAAGCTATGATTCTGGAACTAATGGAGGTCTGAGCAGCAACGAGGAGGCACCTGGAGACGCACGCGTGGGCCATGCTGGCATGTATCGTATGTCACTTTCGCGCAAATGAATTCTGTGTGTGTGTTACTTGTTTGCAATGATATTTCTCTACATGCTTCATTCTGTGCAGCTGCACTTTGACAGGCTGCTATTCTGTTCGCACCTACAGTATGTATAAACAGTATGTCGTAGCACCTGCTGAGTTACTGCACATCTCAATTCCAGTGTTCACTGCTTGCAAATTTAAATGTAACATGAAACGTGCAGGCCTGGTGTTTCGATTCTGTGTAGACATTAGCACTGAATACACGCAAACCAAGCAAGACAAAGGAAGTGAAGCCATTGCCAGGCGATGCCGTAAGTCAGCATCACAATAATGAGATAGTCAACGTTATCGTGACTAGCGCATCGTCACTCAGCGCTTGGGGCGTGGCCTGGGGACTTTATGAGCAAGTCGTAGTACAGTTGATGTCGTAAGGTGCTGAATGCCCCATTGAGCCTTTGTACGCAGTCTGCCCTCTAAATAAAATAACTTCCAGACAACATATGCAATTCATACTTCGCTCAAAATACTTACACATGCTAAGCTATCAAATGAAGGCCACACCTCGAACTTGAAATTTTGTTGCTGCTTCTTTAAGTGACACCCTTCTGTTGCATCATAGTCTAAAATTGTTTGCAACAAACTTGGATTTCGCAGGAATACAATTCATGTAATGCTTAAGGTTGAGACTGAAAGCAGCCTTTCTCATTGATCTTTCAGTTGCTTTAAAATAAAAGATCTAGCACACAGCTGTCTAACACAATCGTGTTTACTCGACGACCACATCTTGCCGTCGCGTCAACATTCGTCCCACACACTCAACGTTCCATCATGAAAAAGGAGGTTTTGCGTAGGAAGGGGCAACGTATCGGTATTCAGCACCAAGGGGTCTGCCTGCAAGACAAAAGATGGCAATTAGCTACTTCACAGGGAAGGATTGCTTCAACTGCCTCATTAACAGCAGCAAATGAACACATTTAATTAACTTGCACTAACGATATACCCAGTAATATTCTCAAATAGTAGTGACAGCAAAGAAGGCGGCAGTCACTCTAGTAGAGACTAATCTCTATCTGGAAAACCTGTACCCAGAAAGCTAAGCAACTCAAAGTAAAAGCAATGCACGCTGTACAGTGATAGCAGAGATCACAGTCAGTGATCGGTAATCTGTCAGCGGAGTGCGTTGTGAGTGAACAGTGAATGAATGTTGCCCGTGTTAGCACAAGAACAAACTGCTACTTTAGTCGTACGTGCAGTCTTATCGGAATGGATTAAAGTGATCAAGAAGTTGCTCAAGCGCTGCGACAGGGCCTACACCATATGGTGGTCTTTGTGAGTGATACACAATCACCTCAAAAATAAATGAATATGTGCACGCAGTAATGTTTCTTCAAAGATACCGCTGTTTGCAGATGATTACATCATTCGTTACTCTATATTTCTTACAACTACTGCAGTGCACACGCTCTATGCAAAACGCAGCGTTCTTACATATGCAGTACTAAAGCTCGCAGCTATTAGGTGCCGCTCTCCTAATTTGCATACTCAATATTTTAAGTGAGATTTCAAGTGAACGCTCGTCTTGACTGACCTACTAGGTCGTCATCCCAAAAAAATCCATACTCACCCGCAGCTGGTGTGCAACGAATAAATGATTGAAACAATTATTACTGAAACAACAGATCATTGACATACTCACCTCGTAGTCTGAGATAAAGTCAAGAAGTCGTAATGCCAGCCGCCGATTTGACCTGGTAAGTTGCTTCAGGCTGCGTAAAATAGAAGAGGGGTTGTATGAAGTCTTAGCTAAGAAATAGTCAACAAAAAGCCATCTGCCTTGCCGCTTCTGTAGACACACTAGTTCAAGTTTGGCAGGACAGGTGGCTGAAGCATGGTATGTTTTACAGCTAAATATAACTTGGAAATGTATGAGTTCAAAGCAAATATAAAATCAGAACATTTAGATTTAAACATTTCTAATATACTACTTATACACAACTTGTTGAATTTGGATGAGTTCCCAAAGGTTCGAAAAATGTGGAATCTTCGAGATTTCGAAACATACACTCCTAATATACAAATACAGGACAACATAAAGCGCTCACATTCAACCACTAACTGAGGCCTGCATAACGTCATAGAGCACACTAAAACAAGCAAGAAAAAAAGATCACAACTACACCCAAAGCACATAAATTACACTAATGAAACCTTCATGCAATTGTTACAGGCTGCATTACCGTTTTTCACGTGGGAATAACTGTACACTCCGACCTCGTTATAGCAAACTCATATCTGCCACAAAAATTCGAAATACCCGAAAATTTGTTATAATGATTATTTGTAACACTGTATCCATGGCAAATGTATTGGTCACTTACTTCGTTAAACCGATAATTTGTTATATAAAGGTTCGAGTGTACTGTGCGTTCACTGTGGTGTTGCATCAGAATCACAAAAAGTCTTACTGACCCCACAAGACATTCTCGCATTGCCAGCGGAGCACTCGACAAAAATACAGGCCCCTAATCACTGGAAGGGGAAGACGCCATGGATCTACGTGAGGTGCTGACGGGGGTCTTTTCAAATTTATCGCGGACTCAGCAAAGTATATCCTACATTATACCATGACGGGTTCTTCGTGGTGCGGCAGTTCGCCAACATTATGTCACATCTCTTGGGAGTGTGACGGAAAGCCAGATAAATTAAAATCTTCTTTTAGGCAATAACCCTTGTAAGAAGTTCGAAGCAGTGGGAGGCACAACTTGCCAGCTCGAACCGAGAGGTGTAATTAGCACTTCTGAAGCATGTTAGGCGAGCGGCGCAAGCCAGT